TGCTTTCGTAAGTTTGATGAAATGGTGACTCAGACTGTGTAATCCTTGAAGGTTTCACCTTTATTTGGGTTATGGAGCTAGGTACCTTTCAGTGAATCTGTTGCACATCAGAACCCCGACTCGCTGTCTTCTAGCAGCCTTTTACGACAAAGCAGAACTAATACGTAGAGATTCATGTAAACGTTTTAGAACTAAGCCAGGGACTGCAGACCGAGTCCCAGAGGTTGTGGGTCAGTACCTTCAGGTGCCAAGGAAACCTGGCTTGATTTTCAGTGGACTTTAAATGCAAGGAAAAAGCTGCATGTGTTTTGGGAACGTATTAGTAAGTTTGTAGTCTAGTAGATTTCAGACATTTGGTATCTTTGTGCCAGGTAGATAGAATGGGAATCTTAGCTTCTGTGCTTCCTAGCCGAGTGATGTTGGACAAGTCTCCTGTCATTTCCATGTCATAAGTAGACAGATATAAGCCCTTATTTTAAATCAATGCTCAGCCATACATTTGTTCATTTTGCAGTACAGGGGGCTTACTCATGCCAGGAAAGTAATCTGCCACTGAACCGGCCCCAGGTCCATTCTAATTCCACTTTAACACAGAGTCTTTTGTAGTCCAGGCTAGCCTGGAACCTCAGATCCTTCTGTCTTATTCTACCAAGTAGCTGGAAGTAAAGATGTGCACCACTGTATTCAGTGGGAGTTAATATTTTAAAATGCTTAACACAATGTTGACCTGTTTGGTCTATGGTAGATCCTGTGTAAGAGTCTGCTTTTTAGGGAAGTTGAGGACAGGCTGTCATGTAGCCCAGGCTGGCCTGGAGTTCATTATGTGGTGAAGATGTCCTTGAATCTTGTCTCCATTTCCTCAGTGCTGGCACTACTGACATATGTATTTCACCATGCCTAGCAGTAAGTTATTTATTTAATCAAATATTATTCTGTTGACTGATTTCTTAGATACATAGATTTATTCTATATATAGAATGTATGTGTACATATATATACTTGTATGTATGTAACATGTACATAGGTAACATGTATGCATGCACCGCAGCAGGTATATGGTCTGAGAAAAAGTCAGTTCTCTTCTTCCATGTGGTTCCAGAGATCAAATTCAAGTTATCAGACTTGGCAGCAAGTGACTTTGCCCACTGAGCCATCTTGCTGGCCCAGTAAGAGTTTTAAACAATAAAACAAGCAGGTCTCCTTTGGAGGTTTGAAGGATTAACTAAAATGTTCAAGCTATGAACTCTTATTGCTTAGAAAGGATTATCACACTGCCAATCACTTTTAACATATCTGGTAAATGGAAGCCTTTTAAGTGCATGATGGAAGCCCTATTTTGGTGTTTCTGACAATGGAAAACTGAAAGAATAGTACAAAGCACTCCCATGTGCTTGCTCTCCATCATTCACTCACTCATTCTTTCATTCATTCATTCATTCACCCACTTGTTTCCCCTTCTTATCTTCCCACAGACCCCACCCTCTTCCTCCTGTAGGTACCCCTGTTTCCTGTTTCTTCCCTCGTTTTCTTTCTTTCTTTCTTTCTTTCTTTCTTTCTTTCTTTCTTTCTTTTCCTTGGATTCATTTGAAATGAGCTGGAAGTATTTATCCCTTTACTTTTTAATACTTTAGAGTGTAGTTTTCTGTAAAAACGACATTTCTGAACTGCAATGTAATCAAGATAAGGAGTTTAAAACCGAGAGTTTGAAAGGTTATTCAGAACTGTGCTTCACATCCTCCATGAAGATTTTGTGATTGTCATTTAATCTATACCTGTTTGTGTGGACCTGGCTCACCCCGGAAATGACGAGGAATTTATTCATTGAATTATACAAATTTCTCAGAATAATTCTTAGTCTTCCTTTAGATGTGTGTGGGGTTGGTCATTATGATCCAGGTAATTTTCCTAAGCAAAGCTGAGAATTTATGTTCTAAATGCTCTGAGTGCCGGAGTTTGTCTGAGTTTTCTTTCTGGATAGGATCCAGGCATCAGGCCACTCCGAATGCCCCTTTGAAAAAGGAGCTGATGCATGTCTGCTGTGTAGGGTTTCAGAATGAAAAAAAAAACCAAAACCTCAGGATGTGTTAGGGAATGACATGTGTGCTGGAGGAGGTGGCCGCACAAGCGGTTCTGATGGTGTTCGCTCCAAGTGAGAATCATCCCCCTGGGAGCTCACCCCTGTTAACAGGGAAGGGAGGTAGATCAAGAGAAAGGAAAGACGCAGCCTCTCTATTTCCTTGATAAGAAATCAAGGGCAGGCAGCATCCTTTGCTGTGTAACATGGAAATAAATTAAACATCTGAAGAATAGTCTCTACTGCCTGGAAACCTCAAACTTTCTCAGCATTGGGAAACATGAATAGACATTCTCCTCTCTCGTTGTGAACAAGCACTTGTCTCTGTAGAATACCACCATGTCAGGTGAGAGATGAAAAGCACAGCCCAGCATCTAAATGTTGTCTGTCTTTTCAGTGCATTCTGAGAATGACCAGACACTGTAAAACGTTTTTAAACATCTTAGCCTTGATGTGGGCAGCTCTCATCACTGAGGATTCTGAAAACTCTTTAAAAATAAATGAGGTTTGAAGCTGACTGCTGGCAATCATGGTGTTAGGCGGGGGTGTGGCTTGGCTGGTAGAGTGCTTACTTAGCAAGTGTAGAAGCTCTGGCTTTGGTCCCTAGTACCACATAAAACTGGCTTTGATGATGTGTGTTTGTGGTCCAATGGGGAGGTGGAGGCAGGAGGATCGGAAAGGTTAAAGGTTATCATTGGCTCCAAAATGAGTTTGACGCTAGCCTAGATTATAGAAAGAACTGTATGACAGTTGGCTTGATGTGGTACAGCTATCTTGTGGTCTTGATCATTGTGAGGTTTACAAGGAGGAGTTCGCCATTTTCAGAATTGTGAATTGTTTCAGAATGACCAAGGTACAGAAAATCTGACTGAATGAGTCACCTCGAATCCTAAGATTGAACTCAGGGTACCTTGTCCAGTATGTGAACTATTCCATCACACAGGTCTTCACTGACAGTACATTCTTTAGTGAATAGAAAACAGAATGCTCAGTGGTTCCTTTTGTGTGAGGAAAACAACACGGATATTAGTCAGGAAAGGTCACCTTTGTTTCCAGTATGAGAAGGAATTGGCTCTGATAGATTATGTGATGCATTGCTTTCCAATAGCAGAAGGTCATGTCATGCCCTTGGGTGGCCAGGCCAACAAAGATGCTTTCATGAAATTGGAAGTCCTGGGACACGAACGTCCTGAGTAACTCATATTTATGAAGCTGTTCAGAGCCATTTTCATTTTGTGGAGTGGATTGTTCCTGGCACTCTCTTTGTTTCCTATGACCCTCAAAGGAGTTGGTCTTGAAGTCCATCACTTGAAAGGTTCTCCCATCAAACTGGGGGAATTATCTAAAGAAGAGATATATCTACCTTGGGCCTGGTGGTGCATTTGTAACAGGCTCATGAGGATCACAAAGTAGTGAGGTGGCATTTTGCAAAGTGGTACATTCTAGGGCCCATTTTGTTTTTCAGATGACTTTGTTTTAGAAATGCATTTTTTATTTTATGCAGTGCTGGAGAGTGAATGAACCCAGGGCTTTGCAAATTCTGACCACTGGACTTTTTCTGGCTCTTGGGTCATTCAGTTCTCCCTCCCTTTCTCCCTCCCTCCCCCCTTTCTCCCTCCCTCCCCCTCCCTTTCTCCCTTTCTCCCTCCCTCCCCCTCCCTCCTTCCCTCCCTCCCTCCCTCCCTATGTCTTTCTTTCTTTCTTTCTTTCTTTCTTTCTTTCTTTCTTTCTTTCTTTCTTTCTTTCTTTCTTTCTTTCTTGATTCCATTAGGTGGAATAGTTTCTGGTGCATCTGGGGTGTTAAGTGTCAACTATGGACTTACTTGAATTGTTTATAACTTGGCATAATGAATTATGTAGAAAAGACCTTTTTGTGTGTTTCCTATTAGCATTTTTTTTTTTTTTATAAAGAAGCCTTGAAGATGGTCTAGTGTCATTCCCAGGTATTAATCACCTGGAACAGATGGTCTCAGATGTCCTTTTTGTCCAATGGTCAGTGAAATGAAGACTGTGAAACTGTATTTTAGATAATTTGGGTCTTTCTGACAAAAACTGCTGTTGAGAACATATCTATTTTAAATTTGTATTTGTTGGGCTTGGGAGATTGCTCAGTTGATCAGGAAGGGACTTGAAATAGATCTCGAGAACCCACACTACAAAAATAAAAAGCTCCACCAGGTGATGATGGTGTATGCCTTTAGTCCCAGAACATAGGAAGCAGAGACAGATTGATCTCTGTGAGTTCTGAGGCCTGCCTGCCCTATAGAGAGATGGGGTGTTTAGCTTCAGGGAAGCCATGGCTACACAGGGAAACACTGTCTCAAAACAAAACAAAACAAAACAAAACAAAACAAAACAAAACAAAACAAAACAAAACAAAGAACATCCTTATATGGTAGCACAGTGATTGTCATCCTAGCTTTGGGGAGGGGGAACAGATGGATTCCTGGGGTTCACTGGCTAGCCAGGGTGAAGCTATTTAGGGAAATCCAGGCCAGTGAGAGACCTTGTCATAAACAAACAAACAAACAAACAACAACAACAACAAAGAGACTAAACTCAAAAAGAAGATGGCACCCAAGGAACAACAGCTGAGGTTGTCCTCTGCCATCCACATGGACGTGCGCACACATTCCTGCACACCTGTTTACACACATGCATACCTGCTTACATGTATGTACAAATAAGAACACATGTATTTATAGACAAAAACAAATGGAAAATTGTCTATATTGTTTGAACTAGCTTGTGGTTAGGTAATGAGTATTGAGTCCTTCCTGATCTCTGACCAGTATGACTGATAAGGAAGAGTTTGTTCATTTGTGGGCTTGAAGCTGCAGACGTCATGGTAGCAAGCATTATTTTACTCCTAGAAACTTTAAATGCTAATTGATCCCTGTTTTTATTCCTTTTGTCTCCTTTAAAGACAGGTCTTCGAAGCGCAAGTAGTTTTGGGGAACTGCAGACATGGTTGGTCCCAGCTACAAAGGGACATTCACGGTCACTCTCCAAGGGACATTCATGGTCACTCTCCAAAACCTTCTTGAGTAACAGTGTTTGACTGGAACCACCTACTGTGAATTCTCCAAGGTAAAATAACTAAAATGATTTTACTAGACACCAAGAAGTCAAGAGTTGATGAAACTTTCTGAAAGCCTTTTAAAAAATGCATTAATTTTTTTTTTGATGTGTGTAAACATTGTCAAGCCAGGCAGTGGCAGTACAGGCCTTTAATCCCAGCATTCAGGAGGCAGAGGCTGGAGGAGCTCTGAGTCTGAGGCTAGCTTTGTTTATAGAGAGAGTTTTAGGACAGCCAGGGCTGTTACACAGAGAAACTCTTTCTAGAAAAATCAAGAAAAATAAAAATAAGGGATAATTGTCATTCTTTTCATGTTAGCACTGTCTTTGAAATGAAGTCGTCTCAGTGTGTGAAGTCCTCTGGAACATTCTATTGGGAGAAGATAAGGAAATACAGAAGTGTGTCTAAATAACTCCCCTGCTCCACCCTCACTACCCAACCTTGACACTTGAATAGGGAATCATAGTATTTTGGGGGGAACAAGGTAGGGAGAATATCTCACTAAGTAGACCAGCTGGCCGTGAATTCACACATATCTACCTGCCCCTGCTTCCCAAGTGCTGGTTAGAGGCATGTGTCACTATGCCCATCAGCCACAGCTGATGCTTAGTAAACATTTGTTTTAGGAGCAGAGAAACGTCTGGTAGAACTGTTGCTGTTAGAATCTGGCCAAGAGACCATGGCCTGGGATTTGGAATGTCTGTTCTCAGGCTTCTGATTTAGTGACTTGTTTGGATTTAACAAAGAAACTGTTCAGGATGATGTGAAGCAGAATGAAGAGAACATAGGAGACTGGTTACACATATGCTGGGATCAGAGAAGGTGACTAGAAGATAGGGACAGCCCAGCATTGGAACCTTTGGAAGCCAGTTTGATGCAGCCCCTTCTTGAGTATGGGAGGTACTATGGTTACCATGAAGCTCTCTCCTTTGAGTGGGTTCCAAGCACAGGACAAAGACAAAGGGATTTTGCAGGTGTAATTAAGATCCCAGCTAATTGGCTTGGAGTTCAATGCACTGCACGTGTCCTCTGTCCAACTTAGTTGTTCAGGTAAACTCTCCAATGGGACTGTGATTTCTTTGGAAGAGTAGTTTAGAACTAAGACAGGGCTAGGAGACTGAAAGCATCAAACCTCTAGGGGCTAAGCCCTTTGCCTGTATGTAACATGTTGACCTCAATTACAAAGGCCAAGGACATGTTTTCCATTATCCCAAGGACCGATTTCCCAGTTGGGCCTCTAGGTGAGGGCATACCCTTCCTATTCAGAACTATAATATTGTGAACCACTTTCTCAGGTCTCCAGCAATGACCAGAGGACTCATGCCTGACTCCCAATTTGCAAAAAACAAGCTTATATTTTGGTGTACCATTGCCTGCCAAGTTTAGCCATTTACTTAGAAGTCCTCAGTACTCTCATCTTGCAGCAAAATCCTGCCCCTGTCTTCTTTGGAGGGTTGTCATGAAAACAGAACTTTCCTCCACCTCCTCTGCCTCAGTGCACGTTGTAGAGGGACCTGAGCCCCAAAGGTGTGACTTGAAAGGTTACAAAGAAACCACTATGTGGACCTCATACTAATTTACGATGCTATGATTTACCAATTATGTCTAACTTAAGGGAGGCAAAGAGATTGAAAATTTCATATTTGATCTTTTTTTCTTTTTTTGAGACTGCATCTTTTGTAATCTGGGATAGATTTGAACTCACTGTTTAGTTGAGGATGATTGAAAACTTCTAATCATCTTGCCTTCATGTCTCTGGTGCTAGGCTAACAGGCATGCACCATCATCATGCTGGCTTTTACATGGGCTTTGTGCATTCTAGGCAAGCACTCTCCCAACTCTTTTATACCTTCAAGCCCTTGATTAATTTTTAGTGGAATATTCTTTCTTGTGCATAGTGATTTAAGTCCCAACTGTGAATCTCAACAACAGTTAGTGATCTAATGACTCCAAAGTATTTTTCTTCTTATTCTAGGGTTAAAAATTGAGAGGGCTATAAATTGAGTTGGCAGGGCCTTAGACACTAGTCAGTGGTGGGGCATGGAGACACATCTCCAGGGAGCTGCTCTTATCCATCGTGGTCCACAGAAATGTGAGCATGAGATTTCCAGAAGCAATTTTTCAAGGAAATGGATTCTGATGTTCAGTCTGCACATTTTCTATGTAGGCAACCAGTTTGTTTTAAGATTAGTGCAAATGAATCTGATGTGGAGGCAGAGGCAGAGACAGACAGATTTTTTTTGAATTCAATGTCAGCCAGGGCTGCATTTGGAGACTGTCTCAATAATAATGATAATAATAATAACAATAATAGTAACAATGACAACAACAACAACAACAACAATAATAGAAGTTGGACAAAACAAATGAAGCACTTGCAGGCAGGATCCTTGGTTTCTAATTTGTAGCAATCAGTGGTTGAAACAGAGAACACTTGAACATATTAGTTCCCTATGGCCACGGAACAAATCACCTCATTTAGCAGTTCAAAAGGGCTTTGCAACAGTTTAAAAGGGCACGAAGAAGTCAATGCTATGTGCCACCTCTAACTTGGACATCTTCTGAGATGATCTTAGGATCTCACCTCTGCCTGGCTGCTTCAAAGGGAGGCTCAGATACAGGCTCACGGGCAATGTGACATTTATCTAAAAGATGCATCTGGCTGAAGCGAGAGTCTTGATGGAGAGAGATGGGGCAGAGCCTGTGCCTGGGAGGATTTTCTGGGGCCTCTGTGCCTGAGATGCTGCTGTTCCCAGGAATGGAATACCAGCTCTGGTTGAGGCACCTGTGGGTGGATTGGCAGCTGGCATTCTGCAGGTCTTTTCTTTTGACTCTCCCATAGTGTTACCCAAATAGTAACCCAATCCCACCTGTCAGATTTATCCTCTGGCCAAGAGTGTTTGCTTTTTATAGAGTTGGCCCACTGATCTACCCTGCATTCTTGGATTGACCAAATATTTGTAAAGAACTGCGTCTGCACCAACATGCACAGACTTTTAAAATTCTCAGTATTTCCCAGACATTGCAGAAGAATAGCTATTTCTGTAGCTTTATATCTATTGAGTAAACATGAGTAATCTGGGGATGATTTTTAACGAGTAGAGGAGGTGTCTGGTTTCACAGGATATGTGTGTGTGTGTGTGTGTGTGTGTGTGTGTGTGTGTGTGTTATATAGAAGGTATTTTACAGGAGGTATACAGCTGCATAGGAGATATGCACAAATACAGAAGGTTGAAGTTATACAGGAGGTGCATGGTTGTACAGGTTTTTGTGGTTAAAGATGAAGTGTGTAGCTACAAAGGAGGCATGTAGCTACATAGGAGGTGTGCAGTAATAGAGCCAATGTGAGGTTATGTAAGATGTGTAGGCTTGTGGGGGTACGCAGAAGGCATACAGAGGAGATATACAGAGGTATCCAGAGGAGGTATGCCGAAGGTATACAGAGGTATACAGAAGAGATATACAGAGGTATACAGAGGTATACAGAGGAGATATACAGAGGTGTACAGAGGTATACAGAAGAGATATACAGAGGTATACAGAGGTATACAGAGAAGATATACAGAGGTATACAGAGGTATACAGAAGAGATATACAGAGGTATACAGAGGTATACAGAAGAGATATGCAGAGGTATACAGAGGTATATAGAAGAGATATACAGAGGTATACAGAGGTATACAGAGGAGGTATACAGAAGGTATACAGAGGTATACAGAGGAGGTATATAGAAGTTATACAGCGGTATATAGAGGTATACAGAGGAGATATACAGAAGGTATACAGAGGAGGTATACAGAAGGTATACAGGGGTATACAGAAAGTATAAAGAAGTTATTCAGAGGTATACAGGGGAAGTATACAGAAAGTATACAGAAGATATACAGAGGAGGTGGGAGGTTGTAGAAGGAGTGTGGTTATGGAGGAAGTATGTGGTTTTACAGGAGGGGTGAAGTTATATAGGAGGTGTGCTGTTTGTACAAGTGTGTGCTCATGCAAGTGGTGTGTGGTGAGGAGGCCTGGGGCTATACAGCAAATATGCCACTATACTGGAAGAGTTTTGGTTGTAGGCAAACACTACTCTAATTTTTGGGAGGGACTTTGAGATCCACTAGTTAGAGTGTCTGCGAATCAGTCAGCCAAGTTCTAAGGCGGGGCTGTGCATGGAGAAGGCTTCCACTGTAGTGCTAGTAGACACGAGGTGACATGTGCCAGGCAGACTAGTATGCACCTGTCAAGTGCTTTGACTTTTGCTGTACAAGGCAACTGAGGGGCTGGAGAAAAAAGAGGGCTTGGTAGTCTTGCAGAGGACCTGAGCTTCGTTTCCGGTACTTATATAGGAGTTTACAACCGCCTGTACCTTCTGTACCAGTGGATCTGTATTCACAACACATACCCTCGTGTACGCGCAAACACACACAAACACACACACACACACACACACACACATCTTTTTTCAAAATGTTGTTTTAAAAGTCAAAGTAGAAAAAGTGAGTCAACTTTAATCTCCTTACAATATATAAAAGTCAGAAAATTAGGAGCTCAGAATAAAAGCATTTTGATAGTCCATTTTTCTCTCGAGTGTGTGTGTGTGTATGTGTGTGTGTGTGTATGTGCAGGTATGTTGTATATGTGCTTATGAATGTGCACATATGTATACCTGCCTACACACATGCAGAAGAGAACACTGTCCTGCTGTACCATTACTTGCCTTATTCCCTTGAGACAGAGTCTCTTATCAAACCTGGAGCTAGGCTGGGACCCAGCAAGTCCCAGTGGTCTTACCATTTCTGCCCTACACGGCACTGGGGTTACAGGTGTGTGTGTGTGTGTGTGTGTGTGTGTGTGTACCCACATCTGGCTTCTTTTTCTTTGATGCTGACATACCAACTCAGGTCCTCATCTTGCACAATTACTGGCATCCCTGCTGAGACATCTATTTAGCCCCTGAAGAAAATGTTCTTTTCATTTGTTCAATTTGTTTTTGAATAAAGGGTGTAGCTAATTTGTGTGACTGGAATTACGTTAGAGAACTCTGTCCTTCGCTATGATGACAATTTATTTTTACTTCTGTTTGTTCCAGTTTTTGATAATGGGCCTTCCTTCAGTAGCCCAGGCTAGTTTGGACATTAAATAGCCAATGCTGACTGTGAACTCAGTGATACTCTATCTCAGGCTTTTCAGTTCCGCAATTATGGGGTGAGTCCCCATACCCAACAAGAGAATCTTTAGGCTGGCGGATTTCCCCACCGACTTCTGAGGTTTGTGTAATGAACTGGAATTCACATCTTCAGGACCAGAGGCAGAGAACTCCAGAGCTCTCGGGCCACATGTGTACTATTTTTGTGGGTGTACATTAACATAGAGAGCTCAAGTGTAGTCTCTTTGAGAATGGCTCTTGTCCACAAATGGCTTGTTCCATCTACATTTTGAGATATGGTAAAATGTGACCCTATGCTTTATCAGGTCAGCTTGAGCTGTTAGGGATTCCTACAAAGACTCTCACGATGGTGTGGTGTAAACTCAGAAAACTCTTAATTATGAAAGATATTTGCTGAAACCCAAGTCAATGCTCAGGGTAAATTGAAGTTTGATGGGTTTGAAGTTTTCCTGTGGGAGGGAGGATGGAGGACGTGTTGACGCTCTTCATCAGCCCTTCTCTGCTTCCCTGCCTGGGGATGGCCAGAGAGCCTGGCCTTTCCTTGTTCTCACTGACTAGGGTCCTGTTTCTCCCCAGGATGAGAGTCTGTGCTAAGTGGGTGCTGCTGTCACACTGGCTGCTTCTGGCCTATGTGTTAATGGTCTGCTGTAAGCTGATGTCCGCCTCGAGCCAACACCTCCGGGGACATGCAGGTAAGCCGTTTAAGCTCATTATGTGCTGCTGAGATCAATTAATAAAACACTTCCACACAGTGGAGGCCACACTTTAGACACAGGTGATTGACAAGCGCTTTGGCTGGTGAGGCAGAGCCATGGACCAACAGGGTCTAATGGCTTATGTTGGAGCGGGGTTGTTCTGGACCTCTTTACAAGGTGTTATCTGGCTTCTACTTTCCTGGTGCTTCTGTATTAGTAGTGTTTTTTTTCTCTGAATGTCAAGAAGTCAATAGCACTCTGTGTTGAGTGCAGACATTCCTATAGCTCCCTGAAATTCAGGGTCAAGTTTAGATTATAGCTAGATTATAGCTGACTCAGGGCTGTCCTGAGAGGACCTTTCAGGTAACTTAAGACCCTTTCTGAGGAGGAAAATATGCAGAATTACAGACATAATTAAGGAGAGAAGAGAAGAAATGGCAAAGTAAAGAGACAGCAGGGGTAACCTGGGCAAAGTAACGAGACAGCCGGTGTAGCCTGTGTATTCTCATGGGCCTCAGAGGGAAGTGTGTCGAAACCTGGAGAGACAGTTGTTCTGGTAATTTCTAGTGAAATTCATGTCTGTACATTACCCTTTAAAGTTAATTTTATAGCATTGTGCAAAACAACAGGTCTCACGATGTAACTGTCATGGTTATATGTCATGGTGCTTTGTTTATAATTGCTCCACTACCCTCTGGTGACCCTCTCACCTTCTCTTGTTGCAGTCTTTCTTCCTTGCAAACAGCCCCTCTTGCTTTCAAGTCATATCTGCATCTACGCAGATGCTACAGTTGTACCTAAGTACATTCTGCACATGAGAGACAATGTGATGTTTGTCTTTCTCTCCATTATTGCCCCTTGTTTCTCCTGAGTTCCCCATCACCCCTGGAGGTAGTTCCCCTTCTGGCCTTTTGTCTGTCTCCCACCCTCCATGAAGAAGCCCTTGATCTCCACCATCCATGATGCCGTGGATCACACCAGGCCCAGGAAGCTGGAACCTAATCCCTATGACCTGACCCTGCTGGAGCATCTGGGAGTTCTAAGATGTTGAAAGATTCTAGTTCTTGACCAAAGGCAGGCTGGTAAAGTTCGTTGTGTGGTTACTGGAGGACACAGCATACGTGCATGAAAGTGCTCACTGGAGCCAGTTGTAGCATGAGGTTTTGAGCTCAGCAAGAGGATGTAACTAACTATGGCATTGGCAAATGTTCATTTTTTTTCTCTCTTTCTCTAGTATTGGGGATTGAAGCTATCACCTCATGCCCTCTACCCTTGAGCTATATCCCTAGCAATTGTCATCTTTATTTTATAAACCACAGGATTTATCCTCCAGATACCTCTCCTAACTGCCAGATCACATACTGAAAACCGTATGCCAAACAAATAAAACTCCACATGTCTGATGAGGGTAAAGAACCAAGACTCTAGCTGGCTCACAGCTTACCTTGGTGATGTAGCGGGGAGTATTTCTTTTCTCACTGCCTTTGGGGTTTTCTAAGCCACTCGGGCTCAGTAGTCTAATACACGTAGCCTAGCATCATATACCCATAGCCTCTCAACTGACGATAAAAATATCCCCTAGAAAAGTACTTCCCCCTTTGCATCATGGATATGTTGACATATGTGGGTACCTATTTAAATGTAGGCTGTTTGAATAGGGATCTTGATATGTGTTCTATTGCTACATTAGTTACTTTCTTCTCATTGATGTGACAAAATATTGGCCAAAAAACAGCTTAAGGGAGGAAGACTTGGGAGATGTAGTTTGTCAGGTGGGGCGGCCAGCAGTGGGGCGTTGCTATGGTCGGCAGGCAGCAGGGCATCGCTGTGGCAGTGGGAACATGAGGCAGCTGTTGATCTGCAACTCAGTGGCTTATGAAGCAGACAGAGAAAGGGCTGGAACCAAGAATAGGCTATAAAACCTTAAGCCCCACCTAAAATGATCCACTTCCCTCAGCTTGGTGCCATCTTCCAGTGGTCCCACAAGTGTCCCAAAGAGTACCACCAATCTGGAGATCAAGCATTCAAACACATAGTCTGTAAGGGACTTTTCAATCCAAGCTACAGCGCTCCCCATATTAGCCCCAAACATTGGAGGCTCAAGTGGTCATCTTCCTCAGCCCTCAGAGTAGCTTGGACTATAGTCATATCCTATTGCACTTGACTATCAGCAGGAAGATCGTGAGCTCAAAGCCAGCCTACGTGATTTAGAGAGACTCTGTGTCTCTCCTGGCCCCAAGAAAGTAGAGTTTGAACTTTAAGCTATGTCAGAAATGTAAATCCTCCTGTCCACGAACCTCTACGAGTGGGAAGTTTGATTGATGGGATAGCCCACCCCCAAGACAGATATCATGTCATGCTTTCTGTTCCCTTATTCTGACATGTTAAGGGTTGCTGCAGTTTTAGGCTCACGATAATTTCTTAAATCTCTCACAACTCAATTTTCTCCCTTCAAGTGACAGTTTGAAGATGAGAAAAATAATGATTGAAGTTTTGAGGAATCAGAATAAAATCAATAGCACTCAGCTGTTGTGAAGCATCTGTAGGTAGCTGTATTGTGCTGTGTCTTTTGATGAGTTCATTTAGGGGCCTGGGCATTTGAAGTCATTAATCTTATCTGTTTAATGCACATTTGTTTTCTAGAGTAGAGCTCGGTAAAATGTAGCAATGGGTGTATTATCAGCAGATTTCCAGGCATCAGGCTGGAGAGGGCTGGGTGTTAATGAGAAATTAAAACTTAAAGGAAGAGGGCTGGGGAGATGGCTCAGTTGATAAAGCACTTGCTATGCAATTGGAAGGACCCAAGTTTGGACCCCCAACTCCCAGATTGAGTCAGGCAGTGGTTTGGACCTCTAAGCTCAGTGTAAGAGTGTTAGAGACAGATAGGGCCTTGGGGCTTGCTGCCCAGATGGCCTCTTGGAACCAGGAAGCTCCAGTGAGAAAGCGTGTCTCGAACAATACTGTGGAAAGTGATTGAGAACAACACTTGATGCTGACTACACACACACACACACACACACACACACACACACACACACACACACGAAGAAAATAGGCTACAGTCAAGCTTCCCATGTTATCTGTGATAATCCTTGATTCATACATAACTCCAAAGTCAAGAACTAGACAACTCTATAGCTAATTCTAAAGAGTGGAATTGTTCCCAAGAAAGGCAGAGGGCATCTTCCATTCCAGCAAAAGCTGGATTATCAGAAGGGATGGTAAGGGTGCTGAGTGAGGCCGTGGGTAAGCCTGCTGAACAAATAGAGACTGTTACCTGGAGTTTCTATGTGGATGAGTTCCTTTGGTTTCTTGGCACACCTGAGGCACTCTCTGGCTGTAGGAAGCCCTCTGTTTATAATCTCTGGGATTTTAATACACATCACTCTCTGACTAACTGACCACCAATGGGATCAGGGTTTCTCTCTGTCTCACAGTGGCTCTGTTTCACAGTTGAGGTTTTGTGCTATCTGGAGAGTCATCTTTGTAGATGCCACATGCCTAGTTATGAAGACCTCACATTCCCTGTTTGACCTTCATGCTTGCTGTTCACCAGAGTGAGGATCTCTGAATCCCATTGTATGTTTTACTCTTCTGGAGGTCGCATACGCTGTGCCCCCATTCCTGTGACGCAGTGGACACTAAACTATTAATGAACAGGCTGACTAATTTTGTTCATTTGTCACCATGTGGTCTGCTGTGAAGTTTTACGCTGGCAGTAAAAATCCCAAGTGATTTAAGTAAGCCCGAAAAAGATACTCTCCTTTTGTTGGTTATTCTGCAAAAAAGAACATGTGTACACACAGGGATACACTATCATGCTAACTTTTTGTAACTTGCTCTTTTCCATTTAACAAGAGTTTGGAGGTCCTCTGATGTGGATACTTGCAAGCATCTGTTCCTCTCTGGTGTGCTATATGTTCATCTATTGTATGGACTTACCATCAGTTCTTTGACCACCCCAGTGCTGGCTGGTTTGTTATCAGATGTGTTCAAGGACACACATCCTGTTGGAGAAGAAATCTTGTTAGTGGAATTGTTAAGTTAGTCCATGTGAAGATGGTAACGAGCTTCAGCTAATTGCTGGGGCAAACATGCAAAACAGAACAGGTATGGTTCAAACAAAAACGTCATTTCTTGCTCACGAACAGCAGCTGATTATTCCAGGCACCTCCATTAGTAGTGTTTCGGGGTCCATGATGGATGGAAACTCTTCTGCTCTCAGCTATAGCTGGCTCCTAGGAGACCAGGGAAGCCTGGAAGTGTTGACTTGATTCATGGTAATGAGGCAGGCTGAGGTGTGGATAGCAGCCCTTTACTTTCTCGCCACTGGCTAAGGCACAGATGCCTGACCACACCTGTCATAAAGGGAGGCTGGGCACACACTGTAGCTTCGGGCTCGGGGAGAAGATGAGCATTTGCTGAGCCCCAGAATGCCTTCTAGAACCTTCCAATGTATGCCAGGACAGCACCAGAGTGAGAGCTAATGCTAATGTCCCCACACCTCCCAAAACTCTGAGCACAGTTGTCTTGAATATTCCAGTACTATATTAGGACCTAGTGTCTTGCCCCCCCCACCCCCGTTTCTATCTCTGTTTCTGTCTATCCACGATGTAAGACGTTAAAATTCTATTTTTATCCTGTATCTGTTTTTCTTTTGATTACATTCCTTGCTTACTTGTTGATTAGTGGATGCTCTTTGTAAATTGAGGACCCAATCCCTGAGGATTGGGATAATACTCATTCTTGCTCCTTCTCTTCCAACTCTTCTTCCTTTTTGTACATTTTCCCTTAATGAGCATCAGCGGAAGAAAAAAATTGCCCTGCAGTGGCTCTTAAAGTTTTTGTTTTTTTTTCTTCCTTCCTTCCTTCCTTCCTTCCTTCCTTCCTTCCTTCCTTCCTTCCTTCCTTCCTTTCTTTCTTTCTTTCTTTCTTTCTTTCTTTCTTTCTTTCTTTCTTTCTTTTTGTTTTTTTGTTTTTTTGAGACAGGGTTTCTC